TAAAATCATAATTAAGTAAAAAATAAGGTAAGGTATTAGAGGAAAATTATTATACTAAAAAAATATTATAAATAATGACATTATCATTGACGAGAACCTTAATTTAAGAGTATTATATACATACACACACGCACACACACATATATAATTACACAATATTTTCACAAAATACTAATTTAAAAAATCACAATTGAATAGTGTAATTACAAGTTTAATGTTTATAATACATAGTGTAGTGCATTACCATATCTTGATACCATGGATTATTAAAATTTTCCAATTTAACACTAAGATTAACTAATTGTAAGTACTATTTACTATTTTATTTTTTCTTTTCACTCCAATTTAATTGTTTTAGTTTTTAATTTTATTTTTAGTTTCCACTGAATGAAGGCTAGGATTATAGCCGAAACGTATGGATTTAAAATAAATTTTTGAAAGAAATTCATGTTGTTTATTGATGTTATGCCCGATTACTAGACTTTGTTAGTACATATGTCAACATCAAATTCAGAATCATACAAATATATATATATATATATATATATATATATATATATATATATATATATACTATAGCTATAGCTAGTATACTAGCTGGCCTAGCAAACGTTAACCATAAAAAATATTTTTAGAAAATTTTTAGTATAAAAGTAAATAACTGATTATTAGTAAAGTAAAAACTGCAGCTAAGACAAAATATATGAATGATTTACCCACTAAAATGTTTCTGCATATTAAGTCATATAATATAATATAATAAATATAGAGATGCAAATATACGTACATGCATACATGTGTGGTTTTATGTGGGTATATTTGTGATGTTAAAATTAATTTACACGAGTATTGTCGCTTCATTTATTACGAGTCAACGACTTTGGCAAATATAAATGTCATTATGCAAGCAATTTGTGCATGAAGCGTATTATTTGAATCTTGATGATCGGAATCGATTGACACAATTTCTAAGCATAAACTTTTCAAGTATGCAATATCATCATTAATCGAAAACACATTCGCTTTCAACCATTCGAATCATCAGTAATTCAATATCATTATGGATAAGTGGCTATTTAATCATTTATTATTAAGTAACAAAGGTTTTCAATTACATATAACATGTAATCACTATTGAAATATCTTAATTAGATTATAGTATAATGGTAAATGAAATTGAACAACTATATTTTCATCAATAGCAACTATATATTTATCCAAGGCATGATTGTTAGAAATACCTTTCATATATTCATTTTACAATATATTACCTCGAATTTATGAGCTTTTGGACCATTAATTATCATCAATATTTTCAGTTTTGTTAAAATAAAATAAAATCATAAAAATAATAAAGCTAATTTTACCTATGTTTGGTACTGAATTTAAGACTAGATTTCTCTCCTAAATTGTACGGTTATCTAAAAAGCAGCAAAGCAGCAATTTTGAACTGAAATACTAGACTAATAATAACACATTGTAATAGACAAATTATTTTATAAAAATTCCAATTTAACGGGATTTGCAGTGTTTTTTATATTCAATTACATTATAAAACATAACAAAAGCGTATTTCTATTTACAAAAAGTGTTCCATTAATTATTATGGCACGCTTTATATTTTTTTAATCTGATTTTTATATACCGTAGCTGTAATTAAAATTTCATTACAATCAAATAATTATATACGCTTTCACAAGTTTCTATTCCTCATATTCAGAAGATAGCAATAATTGAATTAAATTATCTAGTTCTAATCTATAGCTAATTGAAAACTTTGCAAATTAATTTTTGTAAGAACTTTGATCATGATTGTTAAAATATTAATATAAAAGTCTAATAATATAGAATAATATATTTCTGAATTAAGCTAATCTCATTTTCAGGAAGTATTCTTGCTTATATTCAATTATATTCCTGGATATAAGCTTATCTCATTTTTAAAAGTAAAATATTCTTACTCCAATACAGTTGTCTAAACAATATATGTATACCGACTCGTATGTTTTGCATAACTAATGTACCGAAGCTAGAATCATAAGGATATTAAATAATAATGCTGATATTCAAATAAGTTTCATCTAGAAGCATTATGCAAATCTTGTAAATAACATTCAGTTAATAATTTCAGTAGATTAACCATTTTGTCTACTGCATTTGACATATGGAAATTCCAGCTCGCAAGATTTATTCTGGCTTTAATAGGATTTCAAATATTTATGCAACTTAAGTAAATACATGTTCAATGCAGAACTAGAGTTTTAGATAAGCGAAGATTTGTCTAATTGGAATATGCAATAATTGATAAATTTAATTTTGTGATGGATTTTTATTCAACGTTGATTTTGATATATCAACGACAGAATAGGAAATATGAAATTTTAACGTTAGATGATATTGGTCATATCGATATCTCAAACAAATATGAAAAAATTATATTGAAAGCTATTTGATTTAAAATCATAAATTTGAAATGCTTATCGTATATGTGGATTATGCTTACAATATTACGTTTGCTGTTACATCTTCAAAAAACATGTGTGCTAAAATGAAATAAAATCATTGAGAAGACGTTCCTTTGGGCGTCTCAGAGCTTATAGTTAGATTAAAGGTTCTTCGGCAGTACAAAAAATCAAATTCATTTTAAATTATACGTTTCCTTTGATGTATGAAATATGGCAAGAGTGCATAAGAGGAAAAAAAGTTTAGGCACTTTAATTTAGATAAAATGTGGTTGAACGACTAATCATGAAGACGTGCGCTTGCATATAATAATTATTTTTGTGTGAGTTCGAATAAACAGTCAAGTGCGCGAATATAACTTGTTTTATGCTGTATAACCAGTTTAATGTAATACGTGTTTTTATTAGGCTATAAAATATAATTTTTTAGTACTTATTTAGTTAAATTTTATCATTACCAGGTAACGTTAATCTCATATAAGGTTTTGACTAATATGTAATTGCAACCAATAATAATAAAATTTTTGCATATCTCTCAAAATTAATATCTTTAAAGTTGGCATGATAATATGAAAGACAACATTTCTAGTCCATTGCTGACAATGCAATTTGTACTTAATTTCTGTTAAAATTTAAAAGATTATAATCATAGATGTTATACTTTCTCTAATCTCTGTATCCCTGCGAACAATTTGATAATTCATTGAGCAATCTAAAATTACAATTTATCTTCTTATTGTATTGATCACGAAACTCAATACCACACAATGGAGAGAAATAATTAAATACAGTATGTACCAATCGAAGATACTTGGATTGAGATAAGAATATCAAATAATAATAAATTTATATAAGTAGAATATTGGATACGATTCTGCAAACTCTTAAGAATATGGTTTGAACACGTGAAATTGATTGGATCTACCTGTAAGTACGGTTCATCCGTAATAAAATACAAGAACTAATATATAAATAAAAGTGAAAAAAGGTAATATTGTTTGAAAGCAAGAAAACGGTTAACAATAAGTTTATATAGTCATACACAGTTTTCTCTGAAAAATTTAAACTTTCTGTTAAACTTGGTACGTATCATTACTAGAGACAATTTTCTTCATTTGATGCTGTATGTCAGCACAATATTGGAAAAAAATAAAATTGAAAAATTTTGTTTAACAAAGAAAAACTAATTAGGATTGTAATATATTTTCCTCTGCTGTTTGCGTTAAATTTTATTTGATTAATTTAGACAATTCAAATAAATTTATCATTTACAAATAATTTGCCACGAGTTAGGTGATTCGAGTTATCTCATTCATACGGAAATACGAACAGGAAATTTGAGATATTTCTGCATTTTAAGAATGATATGAACGAGGACATATAGTGATAATATTTTCATCATATTGTAAAGTATTTCAAAAGCAATATTATATGTCAGATGCATTAAGAATAAATATATATGCTCGTTCCGACTATTCATAATAAAATTTAATTTTCCGCAACATTTTCTGCAAGAAATGTCGTTATTAGAAAGGTTTATAGCATATTTCTACGAACCATAATGCTTCAGCAAAATTTAATGCGGCTGCGGTTATTTGATAAATGTGAAAGAATTCGAAAGTAAATTATATATTCTTGATTTTATTATTATTTGTGGATTTCTGAGCTTATACGATGTTCATTGCCTATTTAAAGATAAGAATAATAAATTTAAAAATAACAATAAAATTTTATATAACTCAGTAACATTTTACTGAGCGTCATTTGCTAATTATAAGCACATTTTCTTAATGGTTCATCCCCCGGCAAATGGCAAAGGAGTCTAAATTATTTTCACTTTTCAACTTGAGAGTAAGATAAACCTAATTTCAAAATTCCATACGAATTGGAGCACAGTAAAAAAAATCTGACCCAAAACTCTCCATTGACTTGAGTAAATATTCCGTATCCGATGACAAAAATATGAAAATACTAACGTTTGTATGTGAGGAAGAAAAGGGCTGTTTTTAGGGTTTTCCCGTCAATTATCGATTTTTTCTCGCCATACTAACCATCCTTGGACTTAAAAAAAGAATTGGCCAAATTGGTCGAGGCGTTGTTGAGTTATGCGCTTACCAACACATTTTGCGATTCCTTTTTATATTGTAGATGTTAGACAATTTTACATGATGATCGGTTGAGCATCATGTAAATATAATTAAATAATTAAATAAGATTATAAAATGTTTGTATATTCAAAAGTTAATTAAAAGTGCTTTGTCACAGCTTGTGTAATAGAAAGTTAAATAAGTGTTTTGTCACAGTTTTAAAAATACAGAAAGAATTCAAATCATGCAACTTTTGCATGTTTAGCAATAGATATAAACGCTAATAACACAAAAGTTTATATTTGCACATCTAAATATTTCTGGGTTTCTAGTTTTTATATATGAAATAATATAAAATTTTATGTTTTTACTATATATTTTTAAATTACATTTTTAAAATAACGATTTTTAAATAATTATTATTATTAACATTGTTCTCTTTATCTTTCAGAGCGCAACGTAATGCGAAGAACTCGTGCTGCGGTCATTTGCTGCAGCAGCAGAAGGCCGCGTGGGCGGAGACGGCGCTTCACTGGATAATAGAAAATTCAAAATTTTTATCTAACCATTTGTCTTAAAAATAATCATACGAAATACTCTACCATTTAGTAATTAATCTTCCTTCTGCAAACCTTCAACTGATCAATTTGATATGTGATATACTAATATCTATTATATTATTTAATAACTAAGATATTTATGAATCTGTATTATATTATACATAATCCACAATTGGAAAATAAGCACTTCTGGAAAGAAACAGTATTGAAACATACAAGTATAAAAATATTGAAAAATAATTAATTCTGATAGAAAAATATTGCCGAATAACTTGTGAATACGGCTGAGGAGATTATAGATTGATTGAAAATTTAAAACTGAACCGCCGAAATGTTAGCAAGAAAAACTTGGTTGATTCGCGTCAGTTTTTTCGTAAATGTAGCTTTGCTGCTTTATTTGGCGGTTTTTCGGGATGCCGGAACTCCAGTGGGTACTCCCATGAGTAGTGGTACGGAGCCCGCAGCAGGAGGAGGTGTTGAAATTAAACAAACTGGGAGGATGTTAGCTAATTATTTGTTAGAGGTATATATAAGTTACAAATTTTTATAATTTATTTAGAGTAGACATGTCAAACATACGGCCGCATCTGGTCCCTGGGCTGTATCAATAAGGCCCGTGATTGGAATTCATATTTACATTAAGTATACAAATTTAGGTACTTAAGAGGTTATTTTTGAAGGGCCGTAAAATACTCTAAATCTTAGAGTAAATGTTCAATAATTCAAAGTGTTTACTTATCAATTTATTTTCAATAATGTATATAATGTATAGCTATATTGCAATTTTTCATAAAAAATCATTATAAATTCTCAAAATTGTCTTGAGAATTTATCTACGATCGAATATACAATTTTGATTATCCTATAAATAGTTAGTTCGCACTTTTGCAATTTTTGTTGAACAGTAAAGAAACAATTTGGCCACTCTATGTAATACAGAACAAATTTCGTATTCAAATTATATACCTGTAGTGTTTGCTAATAATTGTATTTTAAAAATTATCAAACCTTGCCTTGCTTTAGCAGCAAAATATTGAAATATTTGTTCACGTTTCAAACAGCCATAGCGCTTATTTTGAGTATAATTAATTTTATTCAAAATAATTTTCAGTCCAAAATGAAACTAACGTTTATTTAGCTGTTTTATTAGCATATGGACATATTTTTTCGAATAATTATTCTTTATTAACAACCAATTTCGAAGGTCAATGTGACGTTGTAACTATGTAACATAATCTTAACACTTGTATAAACTTTGTAAATTATCAAATTAGATTAAATCAATAACATCTTATACAATTCATTGATTCCTTCAAATTAAGTGATGATTAAACAAATTTTAACAGCATTTTATAATAATTGTTTCCGCAGTGCATATAGACTAATAATAACATACTGTTGGTTTTGAACAAACATTGTAAAGCTTTGTTTGCCTATGTCAATATTTATTTAGAAACATAGTTATCCTAATATTAATTTTATAATTAATATGATATTAATTGTGTTGTTTGAAATTTCAGAAATTCAATGTAGCAGGTGAACAAAAGGTTACAAATGGGGCAGAAATAGAGCAGCAAACAAAACCTTTGGCTGAACCATTGCAGCAGTCGACTGAAGTAAGTGAATTTGATGTTCTTTCATTTCTAACATTAATAATAATTTCATTTCTAACATTAATAATAATTGGATTTTATTTATAATATTAAACTATATGTTTGTTTTAATTGTGAATAAGCCTATATGATTAGAGAAAAATATAATTCACATGACAGGGAACGATAACTAAGATTTAGTTGAAACTATACATTATTATCATGTATAGGATTGCCACCATTTTAGGCAATCTCATTTGCTATTCAAGTTTTGTCTCGTTATAACCGCTAATGTGCTTTTTATCAGCGCTTGAAAATATGTACTATTATTTTTATCTATAACGAATATTTTTATTTTCTTGTTTATTTGATAAAAAGTAATTATGGAGTATGCTTGTCTGGTGCATGAAAAATGTTGTATTTTTTTATTCATTAATCATGGTACGTGATAATGTACTTAACATAAATAGCTTAACATGAAGAACTAGTATCTTATAGTACCAAATTTTGAAAGTTAAATTACCCTTACAATAATTTTGTGACAGTGCTTAAAGATACTCATTCATTAACTACATCAGTAATTCAGTACAGACCTTTTAGGCCTTTAGAACAATAAATTTTAATATAAAAAGTAAAAATAATTTACTTATTTACCAAGAATATATATATAACTAGTTGGCGATTTTGAATCATGTTGATAATTCATTTAATACAACAACCGGTTTGTCATTTTGTGAAGCAAACAGCACAAATAGATAAGATAATACCATGATCTATCTAGTAATAATTTATCAACTAAAGAGTGCCACAGCAGCGGATATCTCTTGTCAGTTGGCACAAGGCCAACCCATTTCGGACCCATTGAAACCGAACAATATTTATATACACGTACTTGATTTAATATTTGTTTAATTTTTAAGTCATTTGCAAATCATTATATTCAAGTGATTTTTTATAACGGTGGAACGCTATTGTAATGATTTAGTTTAACTAACTAAGGCGATTTAGATGGCAACCGAGACAGTTGTTCTCTATGTGATGAATTGTATTATTGCAATTTCTGTAATACTTAAGATTTCTAAATTTAGTTATGCATTTATTTAGTCATTTCAATCAGAGTTTATTAGGGCACTTTTACAGTTATTTTTCAGTTTTTTTTCTGAACACAGAATATATTGCAAAAATACTAATTTTAACAAATTTGTTTGTGTTATTTGCGTTATCAAGTCCATAGAATTGCTGCGGATCTGTTGCATCAGTTGGCAAATGTCCAAGCTTTTCCTTTACAATACATGACAAAACCAAGCAATATAAATCATTTACGAATATAATAGATTTCAGTATATCTTTACTTATATTATTGTTCTAGGATTCTTAAGCTCATTTTTCATATAATACTTTATTTTATTATAATGTATTTAGTTATTTAAATATAATAGATTTCATTAAAGATAATAGAATCCATAGATAAATATGATTCTCAAAAAAAGCACAAAATTAGAGAATGTGGTTCGTATCTACAGTATAACATCTTGCTTAAAGGGTGGTTTTTAAACTTCTTACTTGAAATTAGTTATAAATACATAATTTTTATCAATGTTTTAACATCAATCTGTAGGGTGTCAAAATGATCTTCCAGATAGATTTTGGATACTGAAATATGTCAGTGTTTGAACATATTATTATCAAACTTTATAAACAATGAACGCTTACTAATTATAGAGACTTTTTTCAAATTTTACTTCCACTTTAAAACCCGCCTTAAATGTTTGATTATTAAATTGGTGATACAGTGTATTATGATAGAGGTCAAAGTCTTAACAAAATCTTGAATCCTAAAATATCAAGGGCCTAGAAAAGTGGTTTAATTATAAAAGTTGAAAAATTGGCAGCATCAAAATTGCATTTTCACAACCTCTAGTTCGGTTTTGGTCATATACTCATATATTATCTCATAGGTGGAACGGTATATAATGAAGTTTTTTTTAAATAATTTCTTATCAGGAAAAGAACGATATAGCTGCGGATCTGTCACGTCAATTGGCTGATTGCCAAGCTGCATTGACCCCTTCAAAGGATAAAACCAGTGTTCCTCAAACAACAGTTCCCGCTATTAACCCACCTTCTCCACAAGAATCTATTACTCCGGGATTAGCTGTTCTGGATTTAAATGCCGATGATGATCTGCAGGCTAAACTTAAAGTAAGTGAGAGTATTCATAACAATTTCACAATTTTACTAAGCCTCTCTGAGGGCCACCTTTATTCAAACTTACTTTTTGTTGAAACCATAAAGAAATCTCATCTTCAAATCATTCACAGATTACGCCCACCTTGCATTGGTGTAGAAAAATAAATATTGGTATACTTTAGCTTTTGTTTTCTTGCAGAATTTGCTTCGCTGCAATAACCGTGATTACGTTACTCGAACTGAGCAAAGGGGTGATTTTTGGGTGCTGCGTAACTATATACAAGCTGGACACGGAGCTCTCGGATGCACTGATTCTATAACATATACTACTCACGCTGATTACACATTTTTGGATAATGTTATCCCTTTATTGGAACGTTGGAGAGGACCCTTAAGTCTGGCCTTACATGCTCCTGGCACGGATTTTGCGCCAACATTGGATACTATACGATATCTTAGAGATTGTGCGCCGGGTTCTGAGCTCGTTAGAGAATATGTTACTTTTCATATTTACTTTGGCAGCAAACATATGCCCAAGCAAGTAAGTAAAATATCATATTTTCTAATTTAAAAATGAGTATTGTGTAAAGTTTAAATTAATAGTTCCATTGAATTTGAAAAAAGAGATTATTACTTAATTTGCTAGTTATCTTTTATATGAAAGAGATATCAAGTTTGTACAAATCAAAAATATTTTTTTAGCTTCCGAAACCTGCGGAGGCATTATCAGATGCGCATTCTTTTAATTGCTCTTTACCTGCACCATATGTGAATGCCAATGCTTCATTACTTTACAAAGCAAAACATAAACTTTTGTATCCTGTGAATGTTGGGAGAAATATAGCAAGGGAGGCAGCACTTACGCACTTTATTTTAGCTAGTGATGTTGAATTATATCCTAGCCCAGATCTGATTAGAAAATTCCTAGAAATGATTGCAAGAAACGAAGGATCTCTGTTGAGGAAAAACCCTAGGTTTGAAAAATCAAAATTTTATAATATGATATTATAATGTAATCATATTGATACTATTTAAAACTTTGCAGAGTTTTTCCTTTAAGCATATTTGAAGTCAATGAAGGCCAAGAGATTCCTAAAGATAAAACAACTTTAACATCAATGTTAAGTAAAAATTTAGCCATACCATTCCATAAAAGACTATGTCCCAGTTGTCACAAAGTACCAAAGGCAGAACAGTGGGTGAAAGCTAATGAAACAGAAGGTTTGATATATTTGTTTTCTAACAATTTGCTTTTGGTAAAGGGATATAATTTTCATTATTTTTAATCGTTTTATTACCCTCTGCTATATAACTCAATTTTTATTACAGGTTTAGGTGTATTTACTGTAGGTAAGCGAATAGGTCAATTTATTAATTGGGAACCAATTTACATAGGGACACACGATGATCCCTTATATGATGAACGGTTAAGTTGGGAAGGAAAAAAAGACAAAATGACGCAGGTATGATCAATTAATTTATTGCTATTATTGTTCTATTTATATATCTAGATAATAATAATTAATTTCATCTGTCTTTCATTTCTGATTTCAATTGATTTGTTAAATCTATTTGCTTTTGAAGTAAATATAAATTTTCTCTTTTCCTTTGCTGTTGACGTTGAACATCTCGAATCACTCCTTCATGTAATTTTTCCCTAATAACAGAAACCATATAACATGAGTACTCGTTTTAATAAAACATTAAATAAAAAAGCTTTATGCATTAAGATAACAAACTAAATCAAATCTAATCGCACACATATTGTTAACAGACATAGTTAATGGTAATATCAATGATTGTAATAGTAAATAGTAATTATAACTTCAAAATTGTGCTATTGTTTGACCATTCTAGTGCATGCAGAATGTAATTTAATTAAGAAAAGAAAAAGATTGTAGCATTACCTGTCTTCATTTTGATTATAGTGAACATAACCTATAATTCCAACCGCAGCACTCAAACAGCTAATAAATGTTATTTTCGATGCTAATGACATTATCCAGCGATATAAGTTTCATTAATTTATTTATATAATATATTTTTAATTATTTAACATATTTCTACATTTATACGTCAATCCCTGTTGACATTTCAATCTGAAATGTCAAAATCTTGTACAAGTCTGCAGTACTGCCATCTTCGTTGTAGATACAAACGTGCGTTTGTGCTGCCATCTTTGGTTCATAAGTATTAGACTAATTGATTTTGGGATATACATTTTTATAGTTGGTTCCAGTTGGTTTTAGGTTTTAAATTCAAATTTATTTTCTTTTGAATAGATTTTAAAGACTAAATTGTTTTAAATATTTCATTATGATACAAGAGTAGCAACAATAGTCGATCGCTTTAATGAATGTTATGATCGTTTATTGATTTTTCATTTGTTGTCTTGATGTCTTGAGATATTAGGAGTAGTAAAAGGAAATCCATTACTTGGTTGCAATTATCTTTATCTCAAGTTATATAAGTCCGATCGGGCTATAGATTGATTCAGTTTTGAGCAAAGAGAAATTTTGCTACATTTTACAGTTTTATATGCATCGTGTTTATGGTCCTGATACTGTAACAGCCAATTACGTGCAATTTTGTTTCGTCGATTCCGTTTCCGCAATTTTAATATCAAAGATGCAACACGCACTGGAAGGCCAATTTTTGCAAATGTCGACAAAATAATAGCCATTGTCGAGTCCGATGATCAGGCACTGTTTCGATTGCCGAAGAGCTAAAAGTTGCACAAAAAACCGTTTGGAACCATTTGCATAAGACTGGATACAAAAAGATGGTCGTTGTATGGATGTCACACGAGCCAACGCAAAAACCTCATGGACTCGAAGTTCCATCTACGAATTGCTGCTAAATTGCAACCAAGTCGACCCGTTTCTAGAGTGGCTGATGAAATATGGATGCCATAGGGAAACCAGGATTGACGCACCGGAAAGTTTTGTTGTGTGTTTGGTGAAATCGGCCAGGAATTATATACTATGAACTGTTTCCCTATGGCAAAACTCTCGACACGGAACTGTATTGTCAACAATTGGACCGCTTGAAAGAAGCAATCACCCAGAAGCGGCCAGCTTTGGCCAACAGAAGAGGAATTGTGTTTTGTCAGGACAACGTCAGCGAGCTTAATTTTGGGAGCTTCCTATTGTTTTTATTCATCGACTTTATAGTTCGGAACTGGCACTAAATGATTACCATCTGGCATTCCTGTCCATGGCTAACAGTTTTGCTAGTAAAAAATTCGCTTCACGAGAAGCTTGCGAAAATCGACCGAATCAATTGTTTTGCCAATAGGACGAGGGTTTTTACGAGAGATGATATTACCTCCAAAATGGCAACAAGTTATCGAAGAAAATTGCGCATTTTTTATATAAATCGGATCATTTAACTATGATAATTAAAGCCTTCAATTTTGTGCAAAAATAATGGATTTCTTTTTAGTACACCTTAAATACTATTCCAGATTTTTTTTGAATTTATGAACCTATTTTTAAATTTAATTACCATTATCCAATTGCACCAACTGTTACATATATTTGAAAAGAAAAATAGGTTTTCATCAACTTGCTTGTTCAATTAACAATAATAATAATAAATGGTAGTCTGCCGGAAGGCAGGTCCATGGTGTGAAAGCCATCACAAAGAAATGATTTCCTTCATCTATTATTCTCATTACCACTAATCCCCCTTACCTTTTTTCATGTATTTTCCTTTCCAAACTTCTGCTTCCATGCTTCTTGATCTTGTGCTTCGGCTTTCAGTTTCCTGTATTTTTTCTTCTCGCGATAACAATAATCAATTCAAACATTCATTCATTGTATGGTGGAATTCATGATTACATTTATTGGACTATATAACTGCTCTATTCAACAGATCATTCATAGTTTCATTCATAAATTTGGTTTGCATAACATCGCATTTGGTATTTATTTCCACAATTCATTCATGAGACATTTTTTTTGGACGTAGCTGGGAACTTCTTTAATGCCTAATTTGAATATCAATTCATCTCAATAATAAATATTTTGTTATAAGTTTCTAATCACTTTCCAATTGTATATTTTTGATTATATACATACATTTACAACACGAGGACAAGACGAATCATTTCAATACTTATTGCATTTTTATTAAATAATTTTATTAGCTTCTGCGACTTATAAAAAATAAATCGACAATTGCATATTCCATTTATTAATTTTCAGGGTTACGCATTGTGCGTTTTGGATTATGACTTTCTGATATTGGACAATGCTTTTCTCGTGCATAAACCAGGCATAAAAATCTATAAGATAGATCCTAAAAGACAAGTTTTATCTACAAAAACAAATAAATTAATTAAATTAATTATCTTTCCTGAACTCAAAGTGCTTTATGGTGTTCGAAAGGGATGTGCCGTTTAGCATCGTGAACATTTTGCAGTGAGATTAGCTACACGATTAAAACAGTTATATAGAAATATATTTTTATTATAATAAACATTAGTGTCATTATGCAATATGAATTGTGAAAATGGTAATTGACACTTCTTTATTATGTTGTGAAGTCGTGCAATCTAGTATAAGAGGCTACACTTGCCGTAATTAATTTAATATTCTGTATAAAACAATATTGTACAATCAATTAATTCTGTATGTATAATTAATTTTTGTTGAAATGTACAATAAGATTTCATATGAATTCCAAGGAACAGAATGTACATATTGATCATGAACCTGTGAATATTATGTTAATTAAATAATTTATCTATAATGATTTTATTTATAAGAGGTAGGCAAATCTGCAAAAAAAATTACTTTTAACTAAATTGTTTCCACTTATTTATATTATTGTACTACTCTTGTTTTCTCATCATATTTTAAAAAATTAAATCTCTATTCTTTGTGCGATGTTTATATTTTCTTATTTAAAACATGTAAATTTAGTATTAAGTATTTTAAAACTGTGCCTTAATAATCACTATGACAATTTTAGGTATACATTGAGATCTTTCTGTTTACATATGTTTTGTAAAACTGTACAGTAATTTTAATGTCAGTATTTAGATATTCGTATTTAATAGTTTTAAGTTATTTTAATAATATGTGCTATAATAAATATAATATAGAATTCACATTTTGTGTTTGAAAGTATAAAATTCATTATTCATTGTAAGTCTAGACTGGACCGACAATATCCTACAATTTCATTCTAGCATGGAATATGAAAAACAAAAGAAGTTCCACATTTAATTGACAAAAGAAATGCGATTATTAAATCAAAGCTGCAAGAAGTTTTGGATTGCAACTTTTTGTGAATACTTGAGAAAATAAAAGTAATATGCCCTACATTATTTTGAAGTAAGTTATTTGTTTAGATATTTGAAATATTTTTTAGTCAATTATACTCGTGTAAATATGAAGTGAAATAATAAAAAAAATGTTATGCAATATGTCGTCCCGTCCTGCAGAATTTGTGGAAATCGGAAATAATTACGCCTTTCGATGAAGGCAATTTAAAAATGCAATCTGAAAGAGTTCATTTAATTTTGCTTTACATATATAATTTAACCATGGAACAAATAGTAAATATTCACCAATTGAAATTAATTAATATTTTTTATCTCAATTGAAATATTACAGAAATAAAAGATGGATATGGTTCATATTAGGATTATTGCTAATAGCTGCTTTAATTCTGAAATTGTCCATTCTGGGAAAATATAGTTTCGAAATCATCGAAAGGAACGAATTAAAGGTGATGTATTAAAGGAGTATAAAATATTATAATTATATTGAAAGTTATCAACTTGTTTATATGTTTAATTAGTCTATTTAATTGTAATTTTGACATGCTTTTCAAATGCTTGGATTAGATTTAAATAATATATACATATACAATAAATTGAAATTGGGATTTATGATAAAATAACTACAAATATGATGCTTGAAATTAAAAAAAAAACATGTCAAAATGTTTGATGCTACAGTATCTAAGGAATATTCCATGAATCAGTTATGTCTTGTAATTTTTTATGTGATTATATATATTATAAATATATTATCCAGGATGGAATTGCTAGAAACTTAACATATGATCTAATCAACTGCCAAGCAACAATAGCTTCCTTGAACCCGGAACAAACTAGACGTTCTGCATCATCTAGGATTTTACCGCGAAACCATTGGGATTATGCAAAAGATGAAAACTTGCTAGTCAAATTAAAAGTAAGTATTTAATATATAATTAAGTAATGCTATAGTAATTAAGAAAACAGTGGTTAATCCTACTGAGTTGCCTTCTTAAAGAAAATAACTTGCAAATACAGCTCAAAGAATACGTAGTATTCTTGAGTAGCTAGTAGAAAGAAGTAGTTGAGAAAAACCAAAAATATAATTAATTTACAATTGTTTGTTTACAGGCATTGCTGCAATGTAAAAATCGGGATTATATTATGCGAACCGAACAAAGGGGCGATTTTTGGGTGATGCGCAATTACGTGCAAGCAAATCATGGTCCTTTGGAATGCACAGATTCTATAACATTTTCAACTCATGCTGATCATTCTTATTTGGACAATGTTGTTCCCTTGTTGGAGCGATGGATGGGGCCAATTAGCCTGGCTTTATATACTCCAGGCACAGATTTTCTTCCGGCATTCGATTCAATACGCTATCTTAGAGATTGTGGACCGTATTCAAATCTAGTACGCGAATTTGTCACATTCCACGTGTATTTTGAAAAAACGTATGTTCCTGATCATGTGAGTAATACTAATAGTGTCAGGCGACATATAAAGTTTTTAGGATATTATATACAGGTAACCTCCGCATAACACAGTACCTCTATAACACGGATTCCCTCTAACACTGTTTAAGAATTGAGATTGTACATTACTTCTTAAAAAAAATAATAAATGTAACAACATTCATTATAAAATCATGATATGTAGCATATTTTTTTGAATTCTGGGAACGTAACCACTCTTTTTGTACCAGTTCTTTGTCCCACGCTAGGTTTTTGAACGCTTTATACCGTTTTATATGGGAGTTACCTGTATATATACAAAACATTCCTTTAATGATTAATGAGTTGTACTAATAATTTAATACAAAATCTATAGAACCAAAACGATATGTTATTAGCAAATGAACAAATACAACAATAATTATATGATTCTAAATTATATTTTCAACAACATATTGCTCAAATTAAAAGTATCGCATTATTGCTCAAATTAAAGTATAATTAAGTTTGAAAAAGCAAATATGAATGAATTAGACATTTAATAAAAAGTCTATTTTTCTCTAGGATCTTAGATATTTAAGAAGTCAATTGAGCAAGAAATCGTTCAATTGTTCTCTAGCTGCGCCTTATACAAATGTCGAACGTTCTACGCTCTTCAGATCAATTCATAATCTTTCTTATCCAATTAATGTTGGAAGAAATATAGCAAGGGAAGCAACAATGACACACTTTGTTTTAGCGAGCGACATTGAATTGTATCCTACTCCAGATTTGATTAGAAAATTTTTAGAAATGATTGCTAGAAACGAAGGACCTCTATTAAGCAAAAATCCGAGGTAAGAAAATATATGTTATGTAAAACGCATGTATCTGTAACTGGTGGTAATTGGAAATCACATTGGTTATTTTGTAGTGAAAGGGAAAGCTCATTTTTGAAATAAACATCAGTTTATCTTAATAGCTAATTCCCAATTATTATTAAGTCAATTATATTATATATCAGGATGTTTATGCAACTTGAATCGACAAAATTTCACTTACACCTAGTTTCTTTAATGTTGCTATATAGAATAAAGTCTATTGTATTATAATGAACTAATAATGTTATATGGTCTTAAAATAATTGGAAATCAACCTTGCTTAGAGTTTTCCCATTGAACATATTTGAAGTGGAGGAATTTGTGAAAGTTCCTGAAGATAAACCTGCACTAATCAGGATGTTGAAAGAAAATTTAGCAATACCATTTCACAAGAAAATTTGTCCTTATTGTCATAAGATACCAAAAGCAAATGCATGGCTGAGAACAAGTAGTAAAGATGGTGCAAAACAAGGTTAATATAATTTTTTTTATAATTAAGTCGAATTATGAAATACTATATCACATTCCCATGTTTATAAATTTTAGATTTAAATATATTTACTGTGGCTAAAAGAAGAGACAATTTTTTGTGGTGGGAACCGATATTCATAGGTACTCGAAATGATCCTCTGTATGATGAAAGCTTTACTTGGGAAGGCAGAAAGGACAAAATGATACAGGTACTTTGTTGATCCTAAATCAATGCTTTGAATTTCTATTTAAATTAATTTCAATATAAATGGCAGTGATGGAGTGATATATATATATATATATATATATATATATATATATAAATTTGTAATTAGCTCTTTTTGTAGGCTTATATAATGTGTTTGTTGGACTATGACTTTTTCATACTGGACAATGCTTTTTTAGTACATAAACCAGGCATAAAAATTTACACTGAAGATAAAAATTCTTTAAATTTAACTACAACAGTTAATAAGCTATATAGAACTATTGTTAATTCACAATTAAAAATGCTCTATGGTATACGAAAGGGATGTTGAAGAGCAAAATTAAATTAGTTGAAGGTAATAAATATATCTTATTATCAAAAATATATCATGTTTTCAAATGTAATGTATCTTAATCCTATGTTTACACTGTGATGATTGGCCGCGTTTTTTTCCTATGCGTTTTGTGATAATTTATAATTATATTTACGATTATAATTCATTCTTTTCAAATATAAATTTGATAAATCTAAATGTATAAAAAAAACAAAAGAATCATTCACTAGCAAAAATAATGTACTTCAAAGCAAGTTAGTATAACAATTCGGCAAATTAAAATGCTGCAATCGCATTTAGATCCCAATGTTAATAAAAGAATCGATAAAGTTGATCGCTTAATAAAAAAATACGCAAAACGACCAAGTCCCGTCACTTCTTGTGTAACAGAAACACAAGAAGATCAAAATGAAAATATCAGTGACAAGTAAGTAATCAATGAAATAAAACTTCATTTTCAGATCTCGGATCAATATCAAAATAATTACAGAAAAAACAAACAAATTTATGATTAATTTTTATTAAATAATTTAAAAACGTAAGAAATAATTTACTGAACATGTTTAGAAACTGATTCTACAATATCTGCTTTATGATCGCTTACATTGGGAGCAGATTCATAAGTACAAATTGTCACACCATGTTTATGGCCTTTAGTATATTCTCCTCGAAGTCCAATATAATAAACTCTCGTAGAATCACTTCCAAAATTTCCTGGTATGTGAATTGTCAGATGATGAACAGATGAAAACGTAACCACTCTAAAACAACAGAAATGATGAATAAATTTTGAATACTTACTACTTCATATTCTATATTACTTTAATATGATAATAGAAAAACGGAAGCATTATCTTATCGTTTCTTTAAAGAATTCATGGCCTTTTTCAAATTTTATTATTGTAGCGACCTTCATTCTAACTCATTATTAGTTAACTATATAAATATGGCATACTTAGTGGGATATTCTAGAGTGCCTGTTTCATCTCTATGCAATTCAAATTCTTGATCTGGTGCAACAGCAGTATCATCAAATGTCATATGCGGTCGATTTTTATATCTAAAAAAGTTTTAGAATGAGTAGAAATAGTTATGAACAATAATTTTAAATAAAAAATAATATAGATGCTTCTTGAAGACTAAAGAAAGAAAGGTGACAAGTATGAATTGATTTTTAATGTGGGAATATCTTTGCGGAAAGGTGTTTTTGAATGAGATCTATTACTAAACTATCGTCATGGAGAAAATTTTAATTAGTCCTTGTCTGAAGTTATTGGTATCTAACTTATATCTTTGTTAATGTAAGAAATGATGAAATATTGTGCATGAATAATGATCTTGACTGTTTTTGTAGGTTTTGGGTTTCAGTTATTCATTAATTATTATCTTATATTTAATTTTTTTACTTTGCTTCTTTAACATATATTTGTTAAATTCTATTTAACGATTATTAATTATTTGCTATTGATTCTATCATTGCTGTGGCATTATAAAAAAGTCAAATGAATTAAATATAATTTTGTTGCTATTCATGATATCTATTTCGTTGCTTGAGCAAGCATATCATGTTCGTTAACAAAATTTCAAAGAGTTATAAAATTGATTCAAATTTTTTTTATTTGCCCATTTTTATAATTGATATTTAGAAATACTTTTATCACTTTGCTATTAAGAAATTTTCACATCTTAAAATTCAATAAAGCAAATTATATTATTATATTATTATTATGATATATCAATTGAATTTCGAGATATTTTATAATACGTGAAATATAATAATTAATGCATATTTTACAAAAAAAGACGTTATACCATATTTTTTATATTGTTGAACTTTTTGATTAAATAAATAACTTACAATCTAAGTTTTGCTGGATGGGATTCTTCTGCACCACCGATAATTATTAATCCTTTCAATTTAATATTTCCTGTAAACGGGATATTAAATAAGAGTTCTTCATCAGCATCGCTTTCCACGTACTAAAATAATCCAACATTTTTTATAGAACACATTGAACAAACGAAATAAATATCCAATAAATTCAACCCATAATAACTTTTATTTACATTTTCAAAATTCAACCTTTCTTCCCACGGTTTAAAAATAGTTTTTCCGCTTCCCTCATTGGTTTCATTTAAACATTCCAAATTCTCAGTATCTATTTTTTCGTATAAACTGTACTGTAGCCCCATTTCGGGGGTATTATCATGTTTATGATCACCCTCACAGCTATGACCATGGTTAACCATAATGTTTTGAATGATTTAGTAAAAAATATTTTTTTCTAAAATCAAAACTGTATTGTTAAATTTTGAAAAATGTTTTAATTTAGTTATGATAATGTATAACTAAAATTTTGCCAATTTGTAGGTTCGTAATATTTATATGACTTTTGCAACTGTCATTCTGCACAATTTTGAAAAGTTTGGCTATCGTAAAGTAGATGGCGCGCGTATAGTTTTTAAATAGTATGGTTCTTTTATTGAATTTAGTTAATTGAAATTAACTCTTATTCTGTTAAGTTATTATGGGTATTTGTACAAATGTTTGTTGTTAAATTCTGGTAAAAAAAGAATAATATATACATAATATATAATAATATCACAATCATTTTCATCCTGAAGTAATAGGACCGGAAGCATTGATTTTTTTTAAATAAATTTTGTCAAGAAAAATTACAGCAGTATTTTTTATTGGTTTACTATATTTAATATAAGATATTGTATATAATATAAAACAATGAGTAAAATTTCTTTGTGTGCTTGTAAATATATTTTTTTAAAATGACTATAATATCGATTAAGATTGATATCAAAAGATAATAATATTATTTTTTGTAATTGTGTAGTTGGCATTCCTGTTATAACTGTCATTAACCATTAAGTACTTCATTAAACTAATATAGTAAATGAAAATAAAGGTAACCTGTTTATTAACAAATTATCTATATGTTGATATTATATAATGGAAATATGAATTAAGGTAGGGCTCATATATACATATATTTTATATAAATTATTATTATATTTAATACGAGCTATATTATCCACAGAAATGCAGAGCAACTTGCTTCGATATCCTCCTGGAGTTTGGGTACATTAGACAGCCTTGTAATCACTCACAGCTACGATGATCTGCCTGATAATATATTATTGAACGTTTTTCGATATCTTAGCGAAGAGGAATTGCGAGAAAGTGTATGTAATTTAAAAAAATAATATTTGTTTTATTAAATCTATTAAATTTTTTTCTCATAGGTATCACACGTGTCGCGAAAATGGATGCAGGCAACCCGGCATCCGGCGTTACAGACACGATTACGTTATGCCTGTTCATCGATAAATAATATTCAAATACTTCAAGATTTAAGACAATCCGGCTTTCAACTGCAAGAACTACGATTATATAGAATTGGTAATGTTTTATATTAGATTTGTATCTGGATTTTGATATTTTCAATTTTTACGAAACTAAATTATATTATTGAACTACATCGACGGCGACGGCTACATCTGTTTATTAATTTATTTGAATACTGATTTTGGCTACATACTTGTATTAATTTAGATATTTCCCTTATAAAATACTTCTAAAAATTTATGTCCGAACTTTTCAAGGTGATGTTGTGAGTGTAGTTCGGCAATTATGCAGATGTAATCTCCAATTGAAACTTCTGCATGTCAAGTATTGTTCAAGAAATGAAGAAGATGCCAAATTGTACAACAAAAATATTCCAAAAGAGGTAAGATCATTATATAATTTAGTATTAAAATTATCAATATTTAAATATAATTTCTTTCAAAAATTTTCGAACATTCCAACAAAGTAAAAAGTAATAAAATAGTTTCATAGTTACTAGAAATAGTTGACGGAACGACAGAATACAAGAGTTTTTTCTAAGTTGCTCAATTTGTTCCTGATATAATTTTTCCTGTTTATTTATAATCTTCTTGTTTCTATCTATTTATTTGCCGTTTTAGTATTAAATTAAAAACATATTTTTCTATTATATAAACAGCTAATGAATGCCATACCCGAATCTGTGTTTTTGAATGCTCTGGTAGCTCTCAAAGAACTGGAAGAATTGAATCTGAAAGGAACAGTATTCAGGCAAGAAAATAAAAATATTTTTTATACATTGAAGTATTGCCAAAATATTCAAATTGTTTAGCTCAAATTTGGTATAAATGACTAAGACGCAAATTTAATTTTGTTCCTATAACTATAGCTCTAACTAAAAACTATCTGCTACTTTTCGCATATTTAAAATGCGTTTATTTCAAAAACTATTTGAACTGCGATCGAAATATTTTAATAACATTTTTCTAAGGTCATAAGGAACCAACGTTATGATTATGATCAGAATCGGCAACAAGAAATTTTTGTCGCAAATCGTGAAATAATACTTGACAAGTGGGTCGTGGTATGATTTCAGTTTTTTTTCGATTTATTTGGCAATCGTTGAGAATATAAAAATGCAGTTTTCATGTTATTCTAGCCCACGTAACAATTCACCTGATGTTTAATTGGAGCCTTCACGTGCCCGAGAAGTCTGTGAAAAATTAAAAAGACTATTTTTTTCGACCATTTTTGAGCATTTTTTACATATGAAATCTTTAAACGGTTATAACTCCCAAACTATACATCATAGGACTTTGCTATTAACTGCTAACTGTAGCTAATAATATTTATTAGCAGATAATATATAATAGCGTTAGGTCATATATATTGGCTTAATGTGTACGAAACATATGCTGCAATAATTAGATATAGTTTTTTTTTAATTCTTTACAATAACCATTTTTAACAATATAGTATTTTTTACTTGAATTTGTATATAATTATTTTATAATATATATAAACAATATCAACGTGCTACTAAAAGGTGCTTTTGTAATTATTTATTTTTAATGTTTATAATATAAGAGGTTTTTATTTTTAATGTTTTAATATAAGAGTTAATATTGCAATTTAAATTTTCAGAGCACGTAGATTC